GAAAGTGGTTTTAGTCGCTTCTTCTTGAAGCGAATGACGACTGTTGATACCGCATTCAACACCATAAAACGTGTGTAGGTCTGTCAGTCAGTATACTCAGACGGGGATGGTTAATATATCACAATATGTAGAACTGAAAGAGCTACACTGTAAAAGAATGATTACCGTTCTCAGTTGTTGACTTGGAACTCTATGGAGACAAATTTGAAAGGATGTATTATCTATCAGATTTAATTGATTTAACGCCTATAAAAATTAAATATCTTTTCCTGTATAAAAATCTATTTAAAGCGTCAAAGTTGCAAAGGAAAATGAATAAATACCTTGTGCTTGACTTCTAATAAGAAAATTAGTTTGACTAGAGGCAGGTGCACGTCTAAGTCAATGTCTCTTTTTCTTGTAGCGACGCCTCTTCTGTCAGATGGGCAATCAATTCTTTCATTGGTGCCAAATCGCTTGAATCATAGAACTTCACCATTTTTTGTCTTGTTCGAAAACGATCTTGAGATATTTAAGATTTCTTTATTACAGTTTAACTGTACTATGGCACAAACGTAAATTCCCGTCAACAGATGTTACAGAAGATATTTTAGTGGCAGGTTCACTAGCTTTATTTGGTTTCAAGTGATTTATTTAAAGGCTGAAAGGAATGACAAAAGTACTAGATGCTTGGCCTCAAGCTTAGTCTAAAGTTGTCTTTATGATTCGAGTTACATTTTTCAAACATTCAGGAAGGAGGACGGGTATCCACTCTCACCCCTTCTAGGTTTTGCGACCCTGGGCATGCTGCGGCACCGGCGGTACTCTTGATAGATTAAGATCATCGTCAGTACTTGTGCCATATAAATTTGCAAATACTTGTCGCAATCTATTTGTTCCCTCATGCGATATTTGATTACCACCGAGACTTAATCCTTCAAGCCTTGAGTTTTTGAACAAGTCAATAATAACATCGACGCTGTTGTCAGTGATATTATTATTTCTAATAGAAACCTGCAATAAACCGTTATTGTTGCTGTTGTTGTTGTTGTTTATTATCACTGCATGTGCCAATGACAACAGTCCACCATCGCCAATTAAGTTACCATCAAGATTCAACCCACATAATTCTATATTTCGCATTAACAATTCTGAAATATACTTGCAGCCCAAGTCTGTGATTTTATTTTCATCCAGATCGAGTAAGCGAAGCTGACTCTTGCTATTCATTTTCAACGAATCGAAATTAGTTTTAGACCTTCATCCGACAGATAATTTTTTGACAGAGTAAGAGTGTCCAATTCTTTGTTTACCATTAATGCATCCGCTAAATACTGAACGCGTATGGCACCTGATATTTGATTATCGGTCAAAACAACGTTCTTCCAATCGTTATTTGCTTTTAATTCAGTTGCAATTATTCTAACCTGATCATCGTTCAAATGTTTACTTTCCAAAGACACAAGATAGGCATTTTTGTGTGCATTTATCCATTCGACAAGATTGTCACCCTCCTCATACTCCTTGTCAGCGAATTCATCAGCCATTACTACCGCAGATGATTTTCTGTTTAAAATATGTTATGTGTGTGTGTGTACAGTGGTTGCGCTTCTTTTTGACTGCCTAGTGTGAGTAGTTGGTTACGCATGAATAGAAAATTTTACCACTCGGTGATATTATCATACTTATACGACTATATGATGACCTTTTCTCAATTCTCAATAATACACAAATGAAATTTTTCCTGATGTTTTGTTCTTTTTGTCTCTTGCCTTTGTGCTGTTGATTTCGAATAAGCAAATTGAAAATATTTCGGGTTTCACTGCACCGATCCGAATAACTATTTTTATTCTGCTACTTGGTAATCTTCCTGCATACATACAAAATTTAAGTTGTTTTCAGTGATTTTTGCTGAGATATACTGCTAACAATCTCGATAACCGTTATTTGGGCGTCACCTACCGAAAAAAAGTATTTCCTTTTTTGATGCGTTTATGTTTTAAATTTCTTTCATATTATTCAAGTAGAGATCGATTCTTATATAAGAACCTTACCAGGAACTTATAAGTCTCCCTAGCGAAAGTTCCTGGGTCGAAGAAATAGCAAAATCTTGGGGCAAGAATGTCTCAAGATCTTGCCATTTCTTGTGCAAGAAACAGTCTTGCTCAAGAAATCTATTTTCTTGTCTACAATAAATGTATTTCTTGCCTTGCTGGCAAGAAAAAAGCAAAAAAATGAGATGCTAGGACCGAGATTCGAACTCGCGATCTAGTAAAATGATGCGTCCACCTTCATCCAATTCTTTGTTTACCGTTAATGCATCCGCTAAATACTGAAAGCGTATGACACCTGATATTTGGTTATCAGTCAAAACAATGTTCTTCCAATCGTTATTTACTTTTAATTCAGTTGCAACTACTCTAACCGGATCATCGTTCAAATGTTTACTTTCCAAAGACACAAGATAGGCATTTTGGTGTGCTTTTATCCATTCGACAAGATTGTTGATCATTGTTAAAATATGTTATATGTGTGTGTGTGTGTGTGTCTACAGTGGTTGTGCTTCTTTTTGACTGCCTAGTGTGAGTAGTTGGTTACGCATGAATAGAATTTCTTTATACTGATTTCTGTACATCTGTATCACTAGTGAAACGAAACAATAATATAAGGCTGAAACGACAGAGGAAAAACGGAGAATTATTGAATAAATTGAGTGTTCCTACTTGCATCGGCATTTTGATTCAGTTTACTTCAATGGTGACTTCAGATAGCTTTGACACTGGAAACGAATCTCAATACCCGACTCAGCGTGGTCGATTACTGGTCTCTAGACCTATTTTTGGCTGATCCAGGGAGAATTGGCCGAAAACGGAGGTGGAATTTCGTTTCAGCCTTATATTATTATTTCGTCCACTACTGATAGAGCTACAGAAATCACGCTTTCTGTTCATGCGTAACAAACTACTCTCACTAGGCACTCAAACAGAAGCGCAACCACTGTGGACACGCACACACACACGCAGACACACATATCACTAAAATCACTTTCGTGTCATTTGATTGCTATTCACTTACATTTTAGCTTACTGAGTAGAAAGTCAACAACTGAGAACAGTAATCATTCTTTTACAGTGTAGCTCTTTCAGTTCTATATATTGTGATATATTAACCATCCCCGTCTGAGTATACTGACTGACAGACCTACACACGTTTTATGGTGTTGAATGCGGTATCAACAGTCGTCATTCGCTTCAAGAAGAAGCGACTAAAACCACTTTCCTGTCATTTGATTGCTATTCACTTACATTTTAGCCTAGTGAGTAGAAAGTAAATGAAAAACAAAAGAACACAGGAAGAAAAAAGCATCTAAAACGGCGCCCACTTGAAAACGTTCACAAAAACACGTAGTAGAGAAAGCGTCGGCAACAAGAGTCGACAAAATTTCATCCAAATAAGTGATAAGCATAGTATTTAAGTGCATACGGCATGGATGAACCGTTTCACTGCACTAGCTTATCTCAGAAACGACTGATGTCCTTCGGTAGTGGATCGATCCAGCACGTCAGACGCGCTTCCGAAGTGTAGTGCGGTCAAAACTGAGTCAAAAATTATTTAAATCTCTTCAAATTTTGTTTTTTCATGTGACTAAAAGCATACAAGCACACGCAAAAATTCGTTCACAAAAAAGCGTCCAGTAGAAAACGCCCCGTGAAAAAGCCGTGAACAGAAAGAAAAACTATTCTGCGCTTTTTTCCCATCTACTAATGTGTAAAAAAGTAAAATGAAATTGGACAATATTTTATATTAGCTCTTAATGTAACTTTGATTGCTATCTAAAATAAGTTGATATGGTAATATAAAAAAGAGTAAGAATTTATGGTCTAACGGTTACATCCGTGGGCAGCTGAATGGAATAAGCTACGGTTACGATCCTCGTTAAGTGCGATTTGTTTTTTTATTCGTTTTGGCATCACTCATGCACTTTCGATGAAGAACAGTAATTTTCCATAGAACTGGAAATCAAAGTTTTCGTAGCTCGCATTCGGCTTGGAGATTTCTTACGTTTTTCGTACGAACTCTTTGTGAAAATTTAATCGGGTTTTTATAAGATGCTTATAACTGTTGATGGAAAATTATAAACAATTTTATTTAAGCCGCTTATAAGAATTTTATAAGACACTGCTAAGAGCCCTAGTGGAAGTTCTTGAAGCTGTGAAAGGAAGACCTTGGGACATTTCTTAGACAAGAAATGATTCTTGGTCT